AAGGGAAGGGGAGGGAGAGGGAAGGAAGAAGGAGGGGACAGGTAGAGGAGAGGGAAGGAAGGAGGGAAGAAGAGGGAGGAAGGGAGGAAGAGGGAGAGAAGGAGGGAAGAAGGGGAGTAGGGAGGGAGAGGGAGGAAGGGAAGGAGAGGAAAGGAAGAGGGAGGAGGGGGGAGAAGGGAAGAAGGGAGGGGGAAGGAGAGGGAAGGGAGAAGGAAGAGGGAAGGAAGAGGGAGGGGGAGAGGGAGGGAAGGAGGGAAGGGAGAGGAACGGAGGAAGAGGGGGAGAGGGAGGGAAGAAGAGAGAGTAATGGAAGGGGAAAGAAGGGAGAGAGAGAGACGGAAGGAGAGGGAGAGAGGGAGAGCCCAACAAAAGAGAAAGTGAAATTCTTGCCTGAGCAGAAGCAGATGAGTGCTTTAGGGCTGAAGTTGGGCCAGGCAAGTTCAGAGAAAGGAAAAAAGGACCAAGTAAGCATAAGGGGCCAGTTATAATGGTGGACAGTGAGTAATGAGGGGGGCTTCTGAGGAGACCTAGGCAGGCAGGAGGGTGAGGTTACTAAGTACAAAAAAACCAGCAAAAGCCACAAAGATCAGAGTACAGAGACCAAGGGTGCGCCAAAAGTGAGCAGCATGTTAAACAATGAGATTTCCTGTGCCCAGAGTGTGGGGTATGACCCTACAGGAGAGTACAGAGGGTGGCTCATGTCTGTAATCCCAGCACTTAGGAAACTGAGGCAGGGGGATAGCTGCAAATCAAAGGCCAGCCTGAGCCACATAATGAGACTCTGCCCCCCTCCCCAGTCCCCAAAGAGGAGGACAGTGGCATAAGCAGGTGGCACTGGCTTCAAGAGATTTCTAGGGCTTAGAAACAGCAATGAAGAACAAAGAGGTGAGGAGTAGTCACAATAAAGGGTAGACTTTTGTTTCTTTAAAAGTTTTCTCTTTTCAAAAAAAAAAAAAAAAGACAAATGGGGCCAGGGAGATGGCTCAATAGAATAAGCGCTTGCCTGGCAAGCACAATGGTCTGAGTTCAATCCCCAGATCTGCAAAAAAAAAAAAAAAAAGAAAAGAAAAGAAAAAAAGACTTCTCTTTTGTAGGTAACCGTTGACAACTCTATGGTAATTTAAAAAATGGGGAGGATGCAGGTGTGGTGGGTTTCCTGGTCCATGACAACCAAGTCTGGCACTACCAACAGAGTCCAATTACGTCATTTTTGAGGTCAGAGAACAGAGGCTGGTCCAACGTCACCCCAGCAGCTGGGTGAGGCCTCAGATCACATCCTTCCTAGGTGCCCCCCAGCTATGCTGACTCCAAGTTACTTTGTGTTAGGAAGTCACTTCGGGTCCGTCCTATTTTTTAACTTCCCTCGGCTTACTCTGCCATCCTCCTGACACCCTGTATCCCAAATGAGCCCACCCTCGAACACGACTTACATCTCTTTCCATGCCCTGGCTCACTCTCCACCGTGCCCCAGCACCTCTTACTGGAATCTTTCTTATAGCTTCCCCAGCAGGGGCAGCAAATGGAAATGCTTCGAGTTCACTAAGCTGGGTCAGGTGCACTCTAACAGGCTCTAACTGCCTAGACGTTTCCCCAGATGAACCAGCCCATCTGTACACTTCTCTTGAGAGGCCCCGGCTCCTGCACGGACCACTAGCGGCTCCCGGCGCCCCTGCACCCGCCGTGCCCTCTTTCCTGCCGGCTGCAGGTGCTTACCTTAGCCACCTCCCAGGCGTCACTGGGCCAGCGGCCCGGCCGGCAGTTTCCCCAGTGCACGTCTGCATTTCTGTGGACGTGATGTCTCAAAATCTCCCGCTTCCACTCCGCGCACACCTGACACTGAGGCTGAAACTACAGGGGGCGGCGATGAGGTGGGCCCCCGCAAGGAGGGCGGCGTCTGGGAATCTGAGCCCGGGGCTTCGCGGTCAACCCCGCCCTGCAGAGAGAACGGGACCGTCCGCGCTCCAGGACGGGAAGTTGGGATGGGGTGGGGGGCAGTGGTCAAGGCCCCGGGCTAGGTGCTCACCTGGCGGGCGCGCGGGCTGCACCGTGAGCCGCCGCGACACGTGGCGCGGGGGCCCAGGCCGGGGGTCTCGGCGAGCAGGCTGCGGTGGAAAGAGAGCACCTCGCGGCCAACGAAGCCCTGCAGGCAGCTACGCAACAGCAGCAGGCAGTGTCCCGCCTTCACCCAGTTCTTGTACTCAGCGCAGTTTAGGCGCACAGCCAGCTCGGACAGCACCATTTTCCTCTAGGGCAGGCGCGGAAACGGCGACAGGACGGTAGTGCGCAGGCGCAGGAGCCTGGGAGCCACCTGAAGCGCAGGCGCGACTCCGCCCAGAGCCCGTCACGCGCAGGCCCGAGGTTGAAAGCGCGGCACTGCGTCATCGGGGGCAAGGCAGTTTCGTCCCCGCCGCACGTGAACTCCACCCCATTTTATGTGGTAACGGTGCGTAAGTATCTTAGTTCTGATCCGGTAGCCTCAGCCTGACAGCCTTCTGTCCGGTGTAGGGCCCGGACACTGAGCCCCTGACCGTACCGCTCCTCCCCCCCGCCCCCCCCCATTCATCTGCCTCTCCTGACGTAGGGACTCCTGATAACCTTTATTGTGGACAAGCAAAGAGTGCCAAGGCCCATTTCTTGGATTATGTATATCTCGGTGCATTTTGCAATCCTGAAAGGTAGTTACCCCGTTCCTAACTCCTCAGACTGGCTGTAGCAGATTTAAGCTTTACTGAAATGTGAGGGCTGGCTGCTGGATCATGCACCCATCATGTGCCCGCGGTGTGCCAGGCTGACACAAAGCTCAAATACCCCATCAGTGGGCAGCCTGGCAGAGGCACACAGGGCAGTGTGTTACCTGAGTTCTGCAGGGGAACAATCCCCAGCCAGCTAAGCCCATTCCAAAGCAGGGGGGTAAAGGTCAAGCGATATTATCTAGACCCCTCGAGGCAGTGTGATTAAAATTCCAAGAGCCACAAGGCTATCAGATTGTCAACTCCTGGGGACAGGAAGTGCTGTCAGTTTTAGCTCTTTTGTGAGTTTCTTGAGCTTGGAAAGCACGTGTGTAGCTGAAGGTTTAGAAAGAAGAGTGTAAACACTGAAGCCTTCCCGACTGCTTGCTTCACAATAGGGACGACCAAGTGCTGTGAAGCTAGCTCTGGACTCAAACTGCCTCTTCTTAGTAATCTGATCTTTAGGAGTTGTAACTTCATCCCAAGGAAATTACTTCGACCCTTTGGGTCTCTATTTATCATCCGTAAAAGAAGGGCACTCATACCTCACAGGGTGGTTGGGGGCCACTAAACATACATTCCAAGTGCCTGCCGAATACCAAGCATTCAGTAAATATTAGCTATTATATTACACTGACCTAAATGAAAAGTAATTTCATCCATTACTTAAACTCTTGGGTAAGGTGTCTGGGCAAATCGTTGGCCACTTAGTCTGTGTTTGTGGTTTTGTTTTTTTTTTTGCGGAACCGGGGATTGAACTCAGATCCTTGCGTTTGCCAGTCAAGCGCTTATCCTACTGTGCCATCTCCCCAGCTCGTTGGCCACTTAGGAGTAGAGGCAATTCATAAAACACTGTGAGCCCATGGGTTCCTGGAGAAGCTGGCTGGCTCCTGCTAATCTTGTCATTAAATTCTTAATGCTAAATCCATCCTAAGGGAATTCAAATCATACCCTTTGGCACCCTGTTCATTCCATCAAATCAAATGAAAAACTCCACAGGAAACAATGAACCTGTATTAACATTTTTCCTTTCTATACTTTGAATTTAAGTTCTCTTAAATTCAAGTTTTCAGCAGAGTAATATATCAAGAACACCTGAAGCCTGGTGCTGTAGCACCAACCTGCAGTTCCAGCTCCTCGGGAAGCTGAGGCAGGAGAACTGCTTGAACCCAGGGGCTCAAGGCCAGCCTGGTCAGCGCAGCAAGACTCCATCTCTTAAAAAATGTGTAATGAGTATTTCTTTGGGGCAACAAAAACCATAAAAGAACAACTTTTATGGTGAAATTGTATCAGAATTCAGGGTAGTAAAGTTCCAAGTATACTTCTTGAAGTTACCAGTATGACCACAGTCCAGAGAATGACTGTTAGCACCCTGCAGGCACACAAGTCATTGTGTTAATTGTAACGAAGTAGTAAGTGGTATTTAAGTTCAAAATCATGCATATTTCTCAGTTTCTGGTTTTGCTTAGCTGTTTTCAAACATAAGGTTCAAGTTCCAGCTCTCAATAACTTGGTATAGGGGGACCACCCCCTCGGGGCCCCCCTCCTGTCTCTCAGACAGGAGCTTTCTTTCCCCCAATAAATATATTCTGCTCAAAAAAACCCAGGAACTTGTTATATTGTTTTTACTTTTTTTTCCTAATTCTAAAAGCATTTCCATATATTCTAAAACAGCATTTCAGCAGGCAGAAAAAAGCAGTCAGGACCAATTTCTTCCTTTGAGGCTAAACTAATTCTAAAACCAGGCTACAAGCCAAAACATCTTCACCAAAATTAACTAGAGAAAGTTGGTAGTTCTCTGAAACTTGTATAAAATTTATTCATTACTATAAATACTAAAATCACATTGAAAACACCTAAAAGTTGGGTCCCAAAGCACCTACTGAAGAAAATCACTATGTGCACCCAGCCAGTCCCTTTGATTGAACCTAGGTAACAAAAGAGGCAAAGACATGGTTTGTGATGAAACTTACAATTCAAATTCTAAATGTTGTCAAGCTTTAATAAAGTATTTATCACTTCTAAGTACCAAGCATATCAAAATTCAAATGGACTCTTTATAAGCATCAAAAGCAAATTCTGTTCACTGATTCCTATGTTTTGATTTGCCCAATGCATTCAAAGACAAGTTATAATCAGGAAAAAAGTGCCCAATGAATGCATTACATATAAAAGTGCAATTAACATTTTAAAACCACACTCAAGGAATAATACCTGGAAAGTCTATATAAAATTACTTGAAACAATATTATTCTTCAGATAAAAATGCTCTTCTTTCATACGACACATAGATTTCTACATCAAAGAAAGGGTTCAGCACCAAACAGAAAAGGGCTGACCCTTGATAAAGACATTTTTGATTGCCAAATTGATGCAAGTACCACTATAAGGAGATTGAAAACAGAAGGATAAAAAGGTAAGCTCAAGGAAGGGTTCCTGACTAGTGCAGAGTTGGGTGAGAAGCAGGAGATGAAGGCAGAAATAAGACATAGAAGGAAGACAAAGAAGGCCTCACCTCTAACCAGATGTGGAGAACCAAGCAAAGTTGAGAACAGATTACTGTTACAGTGAGATGCTTGAAACTAAAATTTGGTGGTTACAGAAACTCAATTAAATCATCTTAAAGTGGAATCAGACAAAACATCTAAAATTTAACGGTGAACCAGTATTACAATATCCAGACAACTCAGAATGGCATATCATTTTAAAACCTTTTCCAAATAACATCAAGTCACCAGAAGATCTTTGCTTCAGATCATGTTCTTTGAAGCTCAAAAAGTCCCTGGCTGGGAGAAATAATACAGTGCTCCAAAAAGAAACCCTGCTGAGATGCATCAGTACCCGACACTCCACTGGCCACTGGACAGGCCTGAGTCTTGGACTCTTCAAAATGACTAGACCAGGTTTCTTCCAAGTAAACCGTTCTATCATGTTGTTGACAACAAATTAAATTCAGATTGATTGAACAACTTCAGTTTTGCTGGGGAAGGCAAGGAAAAGTGAAGTGAGATAAAGAAATGGCACAGAAACTTCATGCAAGACTAGAACACTCAAGTTGTTTGTGTCCTAGTTAATGCTGTATGCAGAAGTATCCTATAAATAAAAAGTGCCTGGCAGGAAACTTCCCACATCCTCACAGAGGAGAATGGTTGCATTGAGATTCCTTCAGTATACATCACTTACTTTCTCTTCTCAAAGACTAGATCAGTGGGGGCGAACCTGCGGCACGTGTGCCACAGCAGGCTGTTTGTATCACTGCAAGCTATAAAAGGTTTGCCATCACTGGACTAGACATATTTTGTACCCAAATCCTATGCTGAAAGACCACCAAGGTGCTAAATGTTACTATCAGTTAAGTTAGGAATGTTTGAACAAAATAAATTAGCTCAAAACAAATAGGATGTTTTTGGTCAAATTTCAGACATGTATTATTAAAAATTACTGGACCCACCAGGTTAAAGATGAAGGGAGGCCCTATGAAGTCTAGAGAGCTTATACACACACAGTGAGTGTCATTTTTTAACCTAGTTTTATTAAATATTGCTTCTTTGGGATGTGTTTATAACAACTCCCAGAACATTTTCATGTAAGGATTCAAAGCGGTCATATTAAAATACAGCTTCAATATAAAGTTTATCACAGTTTTACAGTATTCAAAAATGACAGACCTGCCTTAAAAAACAAAACAAAAATAAAAAAGGACTATTACACCCAAAACATAAGAAAACAATTAAATAAACAAGTTTGGCATTTTCATAACTTTATAGTATAAAACAGAATATTAACTCTATTACTGGCAAGTGGACACTGATATATTACCTAGATTGAAATGTGTCCCATTTAAACACACTATACAAGTTCACTATACAAAAGATTGATGATATTTTTGATGAAAGAAGTGCACCCTGAAAAATTCTGCCAGTTTAGAATAGTTAGCTCTTAAAGTCAAAAAAGTCCTTTTCCTTTTTTAAACTGAAGGCTGAATTCAGACTTTTTTTTTTGTTGTTTTGTCTCATTTGTCAGCCTTCCTGGTTTAAAAATAGTGTCTATGGACGCCCACCAGGGGGCAGTGTAAGATTAGCCATTAAATCACGAACAGCTGCAAATATTGTGCATTCACCTGCAACAGAGAAAAATGGTCATTAGCTATTCGCAATACAGGAAAGATGATTTTAACATACTGGTGAGGGAGGGGAATTAAATCTAAAATTAGTAAGAACTTTAAAGATCAAATAAGACTGAGTTTTAACTGTTCAGAGTATAGGGGGTTGAGCTGTGTGGTATAAACTATCAGATTATATTTAGTTTGGGTTTTATTTTGTCTTCCCCCCTCAGGAGAACATTCTGAGTGAGTCCCAGTTAGATTTGAATTTAAGAAGAGATGCCAGGGGTTGTGGAGAAACAATGTTTCACTGGATAATCCTTCAAAGTTATGGTTTATGCTGAAAGGGAGGGCTGGCGAGATAGCTCAGCAGACTAAGTGCCTGCTTAGGTAAGCGCAGGGACCGCAGTTCGATCCCTGGTATCACATGCCATGCCAGCCCCGACCCCAGGCACGCTGAGCTGGCCACTGAGACCAGTCATGGTCGTGCATGCCTGTAATCCCAGCGCTGGGGAGGCTGAAATCAGGAGGGTCACTATGAGTCAGAGCTGCACAGTGAGACCCTCTAACAAATACATAAATTTTTTTAGAAGGGTAAGGCTACTGCTTCTTACGCATTTTGGACCTAATGAAAAAAGAAAATCTAGCTTGCGTATTACAACTTCAGACATGTCCTACTGTTGCACTAATGCCTAGATAAAAATGTCTGACAGCGCTGTCCAAGAGAACTTTCTGTGGCAGCCGATGCGTACATATGCACGGTGGCTACCGAGCACCTATAATGTAGGTCATGTGACATGGAATTCAAATTTTAATTGAACTTCATTAGCCACCTCTGGCTAGTGGCAGTTATCTTGGACAGTGTAGGTCTACAATAGCTACTACAAATTTCTACCACATTTCAAGGAAACAGTCAACTTCTAGAATTCATACAGTGATTTTTCTTCAAAGCAAGTAGAACCACCACCCCAGGCTAACATCTGCTGGGGGGCAAGGCTCACTAGTTCCCTTTCACCTCTCACCTCTTATAAACATTACAAGCGCTTAAATATGATAAACCCGAAGCTGGGTCCCTTTCACCAGACCAGGGCCTAACATGACATGGGGGAACTGAAGTCTCATGGGAAGCCAGCAGAGGGCAGGGTGTGCGGTGACCCTGTGCAAGCGGCTGCAGACTTTCTCTCCACCCACTGGAAACTCAAGGTCCAGAAAGGAAAGGAAATCTAAAGCCTTGTCTAACCAAAGGGGGAGAAAAAAAAAACCACTTCTAAAATAGCTGACCAATTTCTTAAATAAAAGAAAGTGATTTATGTGTATTTTTAAAAATACTTTCATCGATAAGGTAAGAAAGCTTGATCTCCATAGGATCAAAACATTTTCCTTCAACTTTAAATTCTACAAGACATAATTTATAAAACATATAAGATAATGATAGTCAACTGCTTTTGAAGGAATGGTTATAAAAAGTTCTACTGGACTGCTACTTGGAGAATTCTGATAGCTTTAAACTTTGATCCTTGAGGACCTATTTTCAGCTGAAAGAAGAGAGAAGTCAAAGAATGAAAGGAGAAAATTGTAAGAAGTAGAAGTATCACAACAAAAGAAGCATACTGTTCTCTACTGCCCAGTGTATTCCTTATGAACTAGCGAGAAATCACTTGTGTACAATATGGGGAACCAAACAGCTTGAATAATCCATTCTCTCATGATTCCTAAAACTTTGACATTGTGGTACCTAACATGTTTCAGAGAACAACTTTCCCTTCTTTACCATAATTTTGTTATCAAACTATTCTAAACAAAGAGAGGACTTCCTTAGTTAGAAATAAGCAAAAATTTAATTTTCATTTTCTTAGCATTAGAAATGAGCAAAATGGAAGAAAAGTTCTCTTGGGTGAGCTTTATTCTGTAACCCCAAACTTAGCACTGCGGGAGTTACATGGTAAGTGTAGGCTACTCCAGGAGCAAAGGGACCTCGTTTATCTTTCTGGAAGCACTCTGGTTTCCGGGGAAATGTTCAGTTTGAGAGCTTCATTCATTGTGCACTTGGTGAAAAGGTTCACTTGCACCCGCCTGACACTTATATAAGAAGCCCAAAAAGCAGTGATGCCATTTGTATCAGCTTTTATTCTTCACAAAACATTTAGAAGATACAGAAATTTTAATGATAGTATTCTATTCATGATTGAACCATGAAATATGAGAAACCAACATGCATTTCAACTTTGTGATGTACAGAGTGGCAGGTACTGATGGTAGGGCAGGAATTCACAACCATGGAAAATTTTATCATCCTAACCTAGGGCTTTGTGGCAATCAATGTGTGCTATAAATACAAGCTTCTGGCATTAGCAACTGGGTCAGTCCCAGTAGTAAATCACTAACAAAAATAAAGTCCAGGCAGCAGAGAAATGGACAAAAATCAAGAACCAGCGAGAAAGGAAGAAAGTGACAGGCAGACATTAAGAGGGCCACGGCAACCAGAGCTCTATTAGTAGGACTGGGAGGGGGAGGCAGAAGGAGGTGTCTTTCAAAAGAACTTCATAACACATACGCAATAAAACATTGTCTACTGGTCATGTACCTTGTCGTGGCGGATTCATCTCTGCAAACCTCTTCAGAATGCTGCTGACCATCATGGGGGCAGCAACAGAAGAGTTCTGCTGTCTGGGAATGTCTGCCTGCTGGGTTGTACCTGAAGCCATGTCATAAATGATTGGAACTATAATACTAACAGGTTCTTGGGGTGGGACCGATGTTTTCTGAGTTAGTTGAAGCTGTAGACACACAAAAAGAGAAACATAAGAAAATAAAATTTCTGTCTAAATTTGTCAAAGACACTTATCATTTACTATGCTTTCAGATTAAAATTCAGCAAGCAAAAGAAAATTAAGTATGACAACAGAATATTAAATGAAACTGTAAGGGGCCAGGGAGATAGCTCAGTTGAATAAATGCTTGCCTGGCAAGCGCAAGGGCCTGAGTTCAATCCCCGGCTCCACAAAAAAAAAAAAAAAAAAAAAAAGCAACTGTGCCACCATGTCTTAGTTCAATATATTTCTATTATTGCTAAGGGAAGCAGACCCCATGAAGTCTAAACTGACACTTAAGGAATCTGGGCCTATATTTGGCGGCAATAATAATTTATGCAGTTATCCAAACACTGCTCTATTCCCCTCACATGGCTTTTTCCTCAAAAGCTCTGTGCATACACAATGTCGGATGGTACTTACAAAAAATAGCATTTTAGATTTCAGCACTACAGCAGGAGTCCCAGGAGGTGCAATTGGAGGTGCACTGGGAGGGATCGTCAGGCAAAACTGAACGTTCCACTTCAGTTGTGTTGCCTGGTCAGGGAACTGTGTTGGTGAAAAAAGGAAAAATCATCAGAGAGTCATATATATGAACATGTAAGATCATATTCTAGTCAGAACTGCATTTTATACCTAATCACTAATACAACATAATGATAATCTTTTTTTCAAAGAAATATATATATAGAAAGCAACTGAAAGTCAATGTTTAATTCTGTAATGTGTTCCCCTTCCTTCCCTCTACTTCATTAACTCAAAATGGCCTGCGGATTCAGCTTCTACAGCGCCTCTGACACCTACTCCCGCTTATTTTCACAGAGGCCACCAAACTCAGGGCTCCATTATTTCTCCCATGGGCCCCTTATAGTCCCCTCTGCCAGCTGTCTACCTCAGGTCACCCTACACTACTGTTAGCTACATCTAGCTTGCAAATGTGTGGTGTGACATTAGATGACATCTACTGCCCCTCTCTTCCACTCCCCAACACTGAAGACTGAGGTCTGGCAGGCAAGGCTGCCTTCTTTTTTGTATGTATTTAGTACAGGGTCCACAGGGTCTCACTACACAGATCAGACTCGTAGTGATCCTCCTGTTTTCAGTCTCCCAAACTGAGATTACAGGCACGCGCCACCATGTGCAGTCTGGGCAAGGCCCTTCTTAAGTGGTTAATCTAGACTTTCCAGTCCTTCTTCCAACTCCTTCCCTGAACTACTCAAACTGTGTTAATGAGTTTCAATTTTATCCACTTGTGCTGTAGATACATAATAAATATGTATCTACTTTTTACTCCTTTAAAAATTCAAAGGTTTCTTTCTGTTACAATGTTTGTTATAGCCCAGCAGATCAGAAGCCAAATGGTGAGATTACTAGTGAAAAAATATTGCTTCCTCAATAGTAAAACTCTGACCAAAAGAAGCAGTGTTTTACTGGGGTTATTCGAAGCAAAATTAGAAACATGAAAATTGAAGAACTACTATAAGACTGAAAAATTATAATCAGTTATCACCTGGATTCCATTTATATCACGGCTAAAAAAAAAAAGTGAAATTGCAGGGTATGATGGCACATGCCCATCATGCCAGCACTCTGGAGTATCCCTGTGAGTTTGAACCCTGTCTGGGATACAAAGTGAGCTCAAAATCAGCCTAAACTATACAGTGAGAGCCTGTCTCAAAAAAAGAAAATCATTAAGCCTGTAAAATTACAAATGTAAAATTAGGAAAGCATATCTACCACAGGGCTAGGGAGTATGGCTCAGTGGTGGAGCACATGCTTGGCACACACAAGGCCCTGGATTCTACCTCCAGCATAGCAAAATAAATGAATTATAAAATTACAAGTACAGCCAGGTGTGGTGGCACACAGCTATAATCCCACCACTCTGGAGGCTGAAGCAGGAAAATCATTGTGAATTTCACACCAGCCTGGGCTACAAAGTGATCTCAAGGCCAGCCTGAACTGCACAGAGACCCTGTCTCAAAAAGACAATAAATAATAAAATTATGAGTAATAAAACAAGGGGATAACTTGTGTAATATTAATAAAGGGCTGACAAATCAGTAAGAGAAAGACCCTAAATCTAAAGATGGATAAAGATGTTGACAAGGAGGTATTCTCATTAACTGCTAGTGGCCTGATCTCTGGAGAATAATGTGGCGTTATCTGTCAAAGTGATCAGCATACACATCCCTTGAGCCATCTATTAAGTATAAAAATGGGCCTGCAGATATACAGGTACATCTGCAAAAATGTTCTTTACTATGGCTCTGTGTGAAACAGTCAAAGAGTAGAAACCTCCAGAATGACTGTCAAGAGAAGACTGCTTAACCATTTTAGTAAGATCTTATATGAAACACAGGCTTTGTTCAAAAAGGGAAACACATGGAAAGATCTCAAGAGTCATTTAGTGAGGGGCCAGGGAGATGGCTCAGTGGAATAAGCGCTTCCCTGGCAAGTGCAAGGGCCTGAGTTCAATCCCCGGTTCCGCAAAAAAAAAACAAAACCAAGAGTCATTCAGTGAACTAAGCAACACGCTCCTCCATTTTGAAAATTTTTTCTTTTTTCTCTATTTAGTACAGGGTCTACACGGTCTCATTATGTAGATCGGACTCGGAGTGATTCTCCTGTTTTCAGCTTCCCAAGGGCTGGGATTACAGGAGCGTGCCACCACGCCCAGTCTCAGTGTGCTCCAGGGGGCGGGATCTGCAAGGCATGCCAGGGATTGGTCTGGCCGCTGCTGAATATTAAGTTAGCCTCAATAGCCTTCCACCACAAACACACATATCAACAGGTGTGAGACTTCTTTTTAAATGCTATTATGGGTTGAATTAAATGAATTAAAGATGTGAAGTGCTAGCTCCCAGCACCTCACTTGACAAGGCTCTTTGCAGATGTAATTGGGATGACATCATGAGGGTAAATCCTAATTCAATATGGCTGCTGTCATTTATGTGATGAGAGATACAGGCAGAGACATGTGGAGACAGAGACTGGAATGATGACTATATAAGCCAAGGGACACCAAGGACCCCTAGAACCACCAGGAGCCCAGAGAAAGGCATGGAAGAGAGTCTCCTCTGCACCCTTCTGAGAGCATGGTGCACTGAGAGCTTAGTTTAGGCCTTCTAGCTTCCAGAGCTGTGAAAGAATAAACTGTTGCTGTGTCAGCCATCCAGTCTGTGGCAATTTCTTACATGAGCACTACAAAACTAATACAAATGCCGACTGAGATTTGCAGAAAATAAAGGAAGTCCTTGGAAGGCCGAAACAGAAAAAGAGCTGCTATCTAGTGCTCTGAGGTGACTGCTGCCCCTGCAGCACCTGCTATCTGTGACTCAGCACTTTGATCTTAACACAGTGTCTATGACCAACAAAGGCGAGGAATCAGATTTACAAATTGTAAGATTGCTGGGCATGGTGGTGCACACTTGGGAGGCTGAGGCAGGAGAATCACTGCAAGGAAGGCCAGCCTGGGTAAGTTCTAGGCCAACCTGAACTGCATACCAAAACCTGTCTCAAAAGACAAAAAAAAAAGTAACACTATATGTTTATGTATGTGTAAAAGATTTCATAATGAAAAAGTATAAAATATGATGTGTAAACTGTTACCATTTCATTAAAAGCAAGTATATCTGAGTGATGTACTGGCTTTCAAGAACAGACCCTCAGCAAAGAGAGGGAGGCCACTGGAAACTGTAGTTAGAAGCTGGCTGTGTATGGACAGACGAGGAATTTCTAAATGTATCATATTGTTCTGGATGGAACTGTGCCAAGTAGTCAAGGATAAATAAAATTTCAGTTAAAAATTCAGAATTTAAAAGAGAAATGGAAGAAAGCACATAACTGAGTGAAAACTAAGAAACACTGCTCTCCCCAGAATTTCCCCACACAGACCTTGCAAGAACAAGAAAAGTGCAGGCTTTTCTGAAACTTACCAGCTCTAGCTTCATAATATGCACACAGTCCCTGAGGATGTGTGTGGGTGCTCCTAACAGTTTGGTGAAGGCTATTAATGTATTGGCTTTAAACGGTGGTCCTGCAACCTATGGGGATAAATAAAACAAGTTATTCTTCATTTACTTTGACCTCCCAGTTTTAATAATTAGAATAAGACCATGCATTATTACACACATACTCTTGTTTCAAAGAATTTCTCCAAAACTTGAAGTTCTTCAGGTTTCCACTGTCCTGCATTTTCAGGCGTCACTTTTAGCTGGAGGGTCTGGTTGGTCTTGGGACTAAGGGCTACTCTGCATTTTAGTGCATCTGTTTTAAACATGATCACTCCAGGTTCATTGGAATTTATCAGCTGCAGCTGCAAAACAAGGATATTTCAAGTAAGAAAAAAAGAAAAGGAATATGCCCCTGAAAGAATTAAATAACTAAGTTAATACAGGTGAGCAAAATGAGGTCCAAAACCTGGAAAGTGGAGAGCTGATGGTCAGTGTGACAATTAATGGTTTCAACACTCATTTATTCAGCTTGTGCTAAAACTTCCGATTTTTCCCCCTCAAATCTGAATATAAAAGTTGCAGAATGGCTTTGTATCAACTGTGAGGTGGATATTTTTGTTTTTGTTTGAGTGGATATTTTAAACACCATTTTGACTACCTCATTAATATATTACATTGATAATAATTATAAATAATCAACGTGTACTGAATGCCAGGGCATATTACTAAGGATTTTAAACTAAATAGCTCTAACTCCCACAATCATTAGTAGGTAGAAACCATTATCAGAAAGGTAAAGAAGGTCTGGCCAGATAGCTCAGCAGACTAGAGTGCCTGCTTAGGAAGGTGTGAGGACCAGGGTTTGATCACCAGCGTGCTGTGCTGGCCCCCTCCCCCACTGGGGCACACTGAGATGGCAACAGACTGGGCATGATGGCACATGCCTGTAATCCCAGTGCTTGGGAGGCTGAAAACAGGAGGATCACTAGGAGTCCGATCTGTGTAGTGAGCCCTGTAGACCTTGTACTAAATACATTTTTAAAAAGTGAGTTTAAAGGAAAAAAAAAAAAAAAGGAAAAAAAAATGAGTTCAATCCCCGGTTCCGCAAAAAAAAAAAAAAAAAAAAAAAAATTTAAAAACAAGAAAGGTAAATAAATTTTCCCTCTAAGTGCCTACTTTCAGGTGGTATGGCCTATACTATTTCCTAACAGCATCACTACAGGATGTATTAGATATTTTTTTCTATAAGGGTTTGAAATAAATTCAATTGTTCATGTATTTAAAAAGGAATTTTCACCCTTGCAATTGGAAACAATTTTACTTCAACTGACACTCAGATTCGAAGGCAGCCGTCCTGCAAAGGCATATGGCTATTCGAGTGCTAGTCTCGCCAAGGCTAAGTACAGCCTAAGCACACTGGTCCTGTGTGACATGGTAACCAACTTCCAGGTCCATGTAAGTCATGGAATATGGCGCAGCAGACTATAAAATGCAAACATGTTAATCTAAGAATGCAAAGGGAACAGTGGCACCCATTTTTAATGCTACAGCAGGAAGGAAAGTCTATTCTAACAAGCTGGCTAAAGGGGATGAGAGTGTCACTCTAGTTGAGAGCCTATTCTGCAAGACAACTCAGCACTCTGCCTTGGCTAATCACCACTAGGAGGCTCACTAGGCACCCATACCGTTTCCTGTTGAATAATTCTTTGTAGATGTCTTCGCATGATGACGGATCCAAGGAACCTCTCAAGTGGGGAACAAAGGTAACTCCCTGCCAGGCCAGGCACAAGGCCTGGCGTGGGTGAGGGAAGCAGTAAAATGTTCAAGGCACTGTGAGTGAGGATGGTTGGGATGGACGCCGCCCAAGAGCGCTGAGGTAGTTTTCGAGGTGGAGGCATGTTTGTTGGCATTGTTTGGGAACCTGTGGGGAATGAAAACATGTCATTTCATTTACAAATACGTACTCTCCCATTGTTGCCTGGTTTACTCTCTGAGAAACAGTTGGCATTCTAAATCAACCTGCAGGGCTGGGGAGATGGCTCAGTAGAATAAGTACTTCCCTGGCCAGCACAAGGGTCTGAGTTCAATCCCCAGTTCCGCCAAAAAAAAAAAAAAAAAAAATCAACCTGCACTGTTTGGGTTAGTCCTTGTGGTATAGCAAGTATATATAAAACTTCCTGTTAGCAAAAACAGTCACAATTTTTCTCTTTCTTCTAGCCAGGGCCCTTCTAAGTGACTGCAGGAAATCCTTCAAGGGATGGGGTCTATCTATCCACTTGGAATCTGGCAGGCCTCTGGACTTGGTTGTTTTTTGGGTTTTTTTGTATTTTAGTACAGGGTCTACAGGGTCTCATTACAATCCTGTTTTCAACCTCCCAAGCACTGGGATTACAGGTGCACGCCACCATGCCCAGTCTCAGTCACTGTCTCAGCACGCCCCAAGGACAGGGCCAGCATGGCATGCTGGGGATTGAACCCAGCCATTGCGCTCTGCCTAAGCAGGCGCTTTAGTCTGCTGAGCTTCTGGCCAGCCCTGGACCTGCTTTTGACCAATAGAATGTGGCAGAACAGACACTGAGCTAACGGTGAGCCTAGACTTCTACTTGTTCTGTCGAACCTTGTCCAAACAGCACATGAACAAGCCCGTGATCAAGTATGAGAGCCCAGACAGTGAAGCCATGCCAGATGAGGCTAGTTTAGCCCAGTCAGCCCCTAGCTAACCCAGAAACTGACCACTGACATACTAATGAGGCCAGCAGAGGTAAGCAAACAGCAGAACCATGAGCTATTTTTTTTTAATGTATTTGGTACAGGGTCTCACGAAGCAGCTTGGACACGTAGTGGTTCTCCTGTTTTCAGCTTCCCTAGCACTGGGATCACAGGCATGTGCCACCATGCTGGGTCTCAGTGACCGGCTCAGCTGTGGGCCCAGGGATCAAATGCTGGTCCCTGCGCTTGCCTAAGCACGTGTTTAATCTGCTGAGCTATCTCTCTGGCCCCATGAGCTAATGTTTGTTGTTTTAAGCACTCAAGAATTACACATCCAATGCTAACAAATGGAAAAGGTTTTTTTCAAGAGCAGAATATATTTACTGGCGGAAAGAAAGCTTCTGTCTGAGAGAGGGGCAGAAGAGGACCGGAGTGGGATTCCTGGGAAGCTGTTTTTTCTAGGGAGTTTTATAGACAAACATAAAAGTCTTGTCTTCTGTGTTAAGTTGCATAACCTTCTCACTTTAGGCATTTTTTATGGTCCAATATGGCAACTGAAGTTAGCAGTCATGAGAGAGGTACTGAAACACACTTCCTACAATTTCTGGAGACAGCGCCCTTTCATACATTTGGCATGACTTTGCAAATTAACTACTGTTAATGACTAACTTTCGAATGTGAGGATGGGATAAAATAGGTCATTTGCCCACTGAGGCAGCACTGTCCTGAGTTTGAGGCCTGCCTGGGCTACACAGCAAGTTCAAGGACAGCCTCGACTACATACCAAGATACTGTCTAAAACAAACAAACAAACAAAAAATAGGTCATTTTTTAGTTACACTAAGAACATAAAAATGCTGATAACACTCACTTGTTCCAGCTCGAGGGGAATGAGAAGCATCTGGAACTGGAGAATGTAGTGATGGGTTGGCTGGTGACATTCCAGGCAAACGTGTGGCTGGTGAGGGGCCCGACACTTGAGGAGACCCTGGCCAGTTTCCTGCTCGTCCACTTGGCGACACCATCGTGTAAGGGGAACTAGGATCAAGAGTTCCTGAAAAAAATAAACAGATAGTTTTCAAAGCTTGTATTTTAATAACTGACACTTATTTGTCTGTATTCAGACCATTAAGCAGTGCTTTATTTAAACTTTATTCTGCAAAAATTACATGTATCATTTATATCCCTTTGTCACCAAATGACAAACTGAGAAAATACTTCTACTATAGATACTAGTAAATAAATGGTCTTTACTTTTTTATATAAAAACATACAAGAAAATGAGCAAAGTACTGTATATAAATTAGCAGGCATAAAATAAACAGTAAAGATCAATGTACTTTTGGGGAGGTTAGGGGTTTTTTGTTTTGTTTTTTTGAGACAGGGTTTCGCTATGTAGTTTAGGCTGGCCTTGAGTTGACTATGTAGTCTAGGCTGGCCTCAAACTCATGGCAATCTTCTTGCCTCAGCCGCCTAAGTGCTGGGGTTATAGGCGCATGCCACCATACTTTCTGGCTGGGGTGTGTGTGTGTGTGTGTGTGTGTGTGTGTGTATTTATTTGACACGGGGATCTCACTACATAGTTGAGGTTGTCCTCAAACTCACTTATGTAGCTCAGGCTGGCTTTGATCTTACTGTGATGCTCCTGCCTCAGCCTCTTGAGTGTTGGGATTACAGGCATGGCCACCACACCCAGCATCCAATGTACATTTAAAAAGGTTCAGTTCTATTACTAACTGAAGAAACACATATTCAATAGTAAGATGTCATTTTTCACCTATCAAAATAGGCAAGACTTCAAAAAATCTTAATACCCTGAGGTGGCAATGATGAAGACAACAGACATTCTCTTATGATGCTATAGAAAACTGGTACAATATTTCAGTTGAGCAATCTGCAATGTTTCAAAAGCTTAAAAATTTCTCAGACCTTCTGAGACCAGAATTCCACTTCGAGGAATTTTCCTAAGGAAAAGTGGATGTGAACAGAGACGGTACCATTTTTAACTAGAAACATTTGAAGCATGTAATACAAGAAAGCAGTTAAATTATGCTACGCCCAGACAAGAGAAAAGACTATGAAGCAAGCAGTAGACTGATGCAGTTTTTACTAACAAAGGTTCCAAAATGTAATAGTAAAAAGTAAAACCCCTGCTATACACAGCTTAAAAACAGGAAGCTCTTTATGTTCTGATATGGGATGGTACTGGGTGAGATTCATGATATAATATATACTTTTTTTTCCTTTCACTTTTCTTGTGTGTTTTGAGATAAGGTCTTGCTATGCAGTTCAGGCTAGCCCTGAACTCACTACATAGCCCAGGCTGGCCTTGAACTCATGGTGAGCCTCTCGGTGTTGGAAAGAAAAACTGCACTGACTACCATTTCTTCCTCTACTTGAATCCATTCAAACTAGAATTTGAGTTAAAAGGTTTAAAAATTTAAGTGACAAAACAATTCCCAGGGGAAGGTGGGGTTGGTGCATGTGGGTGGAGATAGCTCATGGGTAGACAGCAGGAAGCAAGAGCTCCTGAGGGCCAGCAGGTGGGCAGGGCAGGTACAGCAGAGCGAAGGGGAGACAAGACGGAGAAAGGGAGACAGAGCAGAGACAGACCCGACTACTCAAATGCCAGTGTGGCATGAACAGGATTTTTGTGCAAGCAATACTTTTGCTATTTCCTAAACATAGAAGCACTAATTTTGCAATGAGAAAATTTATTAAACAAAAAGTATTTTCACATCAAGCTCTTATACTACTGAGATATTATGTATGACTCACCATGTGGGCTAGCAAAACTGGCCCCTGGTCCTATTGAGATTCCATGCGAGGATGGGGGAGGAGTTGGAACAAATGACGCTGGTGATGGGGCTCTCAAAGCCCCACTGGGGGAGCTGGCAGCATGCAGATTTCCTAATAAAGGAAAATAATTATAGATGATCTATCTCCCCAGAGCCTCAAGAAACAAGTAGTAAAGCTCCCATAAATAGCAGAAAGAACTGGAAAGAGTTCATTACTGAAAAAGAGCGAGCTCAAGTCTATGGGCCCAAATTCTAGCTCTTAAGTTGACTAATTCTTTTTAAAATCTAGTGTACTTTTTATTCACTTATTCTTTGAATAAGCAGGCATGAAAGCCAACTTCATGCCAAGCATTGTTCTAGGCATTGAGGATGCAGCAGTTAACAAAAGAAAAAATTCTGCTCTCATGGAGCTTATATTCTAGTAAAATGAGAAAGACAAACAAATCTGTCAGGTAATGATTAGTACTAGGGAGGAAAATGAGAGCAAGCCCAGGAGACAATTTGAAGTAGTACTGGAGAAACGTACTATTCTTTATACAGAGCAACGCAAGAAAACCTCTTTAAGAAGAGGACATGTGCAGGAGACTGAAGTTCAAGGCCAGCTTGGGCAACTTAGTGAGACCCTATCTCAAAATTTAAACAAACAAACAAAAAACCCACAAAAATTCTGGAGATATAGCTAAGTGTGAAGTCCTGGGTTCAGTCCCCAATATCGCACTGGGAAAAAAAGATGTGCGCTGGCCAGAAAGAAAGTGCAGGATAAGGTGTGAGGGTATCCAGGGTAAACAGAAGAGCTAGTGCAAATGGGCCAGAGGAGGCAGCAGTCACGCGTGATGGGGAGGCTGGTGGCTGGGCAGCGAGAAAGGGAAACCGCAAGGGATGATGTCGGAGAGTCTGCGGGTGCACTTGGAGCCACGAAGGACTTCAGTTTCCCCCTGAATGAGCAGGAGGCCAGTGCAGAGTGTGGAGCAGACGGCACAAAGTGAGAGGTGGCTACATTAGTCCAAGTGCTGAGACAGAGGAGTTTAGCATGGTTCTAACAGCTCTCCCCCACGTAACAGGAAGAAAAAGGCTATCATGTACTGACCTGGGGTATTTGTGGCCAGGATGAGTTTCAGGCAGTTACTAGATACTATATGCAAATGTGGGACTAAAGTTCTGGGGCCACATCTCAATTAGATACAAAAACCAGGAGACATGAATTTAAAGATAGTATTTAAAGCTACAAGGCTAGTTTTAATTTAGGATTATGAAAGGGGCAACTATGGCTACCAAAACTATGAATGAATGGAACATTAATATTTTTGCTACATTACTGTTTTTGATATCAACAAGGTTTCAAATTCTTTACTACACAATTTCATATTTACTCATTTGTCTATCTGGTTCATTGAGACAGGGTCTTGCTGTGTAGTTCAGGCTGGCCTTGAATTCATTATGAAGCCCAGGCTGGCCTGAAACTTCTGGTGATCCTGCTGCCTCAGCCTCCCAGAGTGCTGGGATTACAGGTGTGCACCACCACGCCCAGTCATAATGTCATTACTTTTACATTCTATAATACCTAAAACAATGTGTTAGAACTCAATAAATGTCGAGCAACTTCATTAACCATTAAACATAATACATTATACCTTTTTAGCTATATGATCAGGACAAGTGACTTAACTTCTCTAAATTTTTTTTTATTTTTATTTATTTGAGAGAGAGAGAGAGAGAGAGAGAGAGAGAGAGAGAGAGAGAGAGAGAGTGGTGTGTGTGTGTGTGTGGCCAGCTCAGCCCACCAGGGGGCGGGGCTGGCTGGCATGTGGTGCTGGGGGATTGAACCGCGGTCCCTGATGCCTTGCCAAGCTTGTTCTAAGTAGGTGCTTTAGACCACTGAGTTATCTCTCCAGCCCCGACTTAACTTCTTTTATGGGAATAATGAAGCCTATGCCACAAATTTGCTGTGAGGATTAAATGAATAAAGTACTTAGAATAGGGCTTGGCACATAATTAAGAATATACCTGTCTGCTACTATAATTCTTTCAAAATTATTTTTCCTTCTACTTATGCAAAAATAATCTCCACCCCTAGCCTAGAGCCTCATTCCCCTGAGGTTGAGTCTCTCTGTCTGCTTACTTCCTCCTTAGCTGTTTCTGCACCGCACATGCTGGGGTTGCTACAGGCTGAGCATGCCTACCTATTCGGGCTTTAGAGACCCTGGGTATGCCAATTTCCAAGGCTTCATCTGCATCTATGGTCCCACTGTTTCTAATGAACCACAGATGGCATGACAGAGAAGTCTCTGGAGACTTGCACAATCAACAGATTGGAGAACTGTCTGTCTCCCCTGTGAAACCACCCCTCCTTTGTTCCAGCCCTTGTGCTATGCACACTGAACCTCTCGGGTGCGCTACTGAAATCCAACAATGGCTTCCTTTACCCACATAATAACAGACAAGTTCCTAACAGGGCCCTGTCTCTCCACGCTGCCACCATCAAGGACATTCTACTAATACCTGGACTTCAGGCTCCTTATATGCCAGGAACTCTGCCCCAAATACCCCCCTGTCTGGCTGAGTATGTCTCAGCCTAACCAGTGTGGTGCGAAGGTAGGAAGAGAACAGACACCGAGCCTCTGGGAAGAAAATGGCCAACTCTCCTGCCAAATGCTCTTTCAAAAGCAAGAGTGACTCTTTGTCTAACACTCATCACACCTGGCATTACAGACTCAGATTGGTTAGCAAGGAATCTAGACTATGTCCATCCTTGCTCCAAAAAAGAGAAAATCTGAAGATATTTAAAATAAAGGTCTGTTTAAAAAATTAAATAAGCTCCAGTACTTCAATAATTTGTAGAGCAATCCAGTGGTTGTATGAGACACAGAGTGGGTAGATCTACCAGGACTGAGTGCCTGGGCCGTGCTGGATGCTGCCAACCTGGGCATTGAGGCACAGTGCAAGGAGCTGGTCAAAGAAGAGTGTGTCATATACCAGGCCCCAGACTAAACACTACTACTTTTCCCTAATTTTATGTGAATTATTTCATTAAATTCTCTCAATATCTATAAGTGAAATGTTTTATATTATTCTCATTTTAGGAATGATATTAGCTGGTTAGTAAGTGATGCCCCTATATTGCCTATCTGCAGATTTATAGGCTCTTCTGGTCAATATATATTTTTCATGTATATATTAAAAATTTTCATATATCTGGACTATTTTATATTTTATAAAGGAGGAAAGTATGCGCTGCAAATTATGCTCTATAAAATGAAAACTGGGGGCCTGCCCCTTAGCTCAGTTCTTTAAGTGGCTGCTTCAACAAAGCAGTCAGGCTCAGGTTGCTGTGGTTCGATCCCCACAACTCAAGCCAGCCAAACCTACCCTGAAGGCATTCGGAGACAAAAAAAATCCTTATTCCATTTAAAAAAAAAAATTGAAAAAGGGGGTGCTGGGAAGATGGATCAGTGGAATAAGCGCTTCCGTGGCAAGCGCAAGGGCCTGAGTTTAATCCCCAGTTCTACCAAAAAAATAAATAAAATGAAAACTAAAATATTAAAAACGCATTTGTTGGGTTTTTCACTTTTAAAAAAAAATCAAGTTTTATATTTTCCCTGTTTTCTCATAAATAAGCCATAAGCCAGAACATTTTCAAACAAAAATTCTTTTTTTTTTATTTTTGTATTTTAGGGAAGGGTCTACAGTAGTATTCAGGGTCTCACTACTAGATCGGATTCATAGTGATCCGCCTGCTTACAGCCTCCTCCCTGGGATTACAGGCACGCCACCATGCCCAGTCTCAATTGCCATCTCAGCCTGTCCTGGGGGTGGGCCCAGCACGGCAGGCCTGACATGGCAGGCCCGGAGATCAAACCTGGGGTCCCTACGCCTGCTTGCAGGTGCTTTAATTTGCTGACCTATTTGGCCAGCCCTGATAATGCATTCTATAGTTGACTGGATTGATGCATTTATATTAAATGAGGATTTTACTGCGCATATACTTTTTACAATTCTTTTTTATTTTACACCCCATATTACATATCACATCTTTCGTGCTACAACTTTAAAAGGCATTATATTCAGCAGCCTTACTGACATAGAACAGATTAAATACAGGTGCTAGGGGGCAAGAGGTCATGCCACACCCCCACTCCAACAAAGAAAGCTGCTACCTGTCTTCCTCACTCTGGTGCTAGGTCGTAAGCACTGGACAGCAGGGCCAGCATCGGGCTCTGTGAAGCAGCAGTATTTACTAAGACCAAGCACTCAAGAGATACCACTGAATCATTCAGTCAAAAGGAAAGGTCAGGGCCCAGGAGATTGCCCAGTAGTATAAGCGCTTTCCTGGCAAGCGCAAGGGCCTGATGAGTTCAATCCCCAGTTCCGCCAAAAAAAAAAAGGTCAGTATTCTCAAGCACTTTTGCACTGCACTTCATGGGGTAACCAACAAAGACCATTTGTTTGGACAAACAGGACGTGCGTGCACTGCCTGGCTCTGGGGACTGAGGACCAGCTATCCTTCACATACCAAAGCCTGGTAAATGGGATGGTTGTAGAAAGAAAGCAGCCACAGACGCTACATCAACTGTGGTTGTGTGCCAAGAAACTTTTATTTATTTACAAACAGGTGGCACACAGGATCTGGCCTACAAGCCTAAGTTTGTTGGCCTCTGATACAGATCATGTTCTGATTATGCCATGATTAGTACCACAAGTCTGGCTCTGGGTAACAACAGCTCATCTTAACTCAAGTCTTTTGAAGTACTCCTGAACCATGGACAGATTTCACAACCCTGCCATAACGAATGCTTGGCGATTATCTAGCCGGAATCTAAAAAAAGAACTCCCTCTGAAGCCTGAGGCTAACACACAGTCGTTCACGATGTGCACGCATGCGTATGCATTTTGGATTTAAAAGCTAAGTATCACAAGAGAATAAGTGATACCTTACCTGGAGACTGCGTGTGCATCATAGACGGAGACTGATTAACTGTGCTGTGATATGACGTAGGGGGTGAAGTAAGGGGATAAGCTCCTGACGTTCCTGGCTGCTTTGGAAATGGCTGAAATTAAGAAAATTAAAAGTTGGTCAAATGGCTAACGGCAGATAGTATAAGACTGTGACTTTCCGTGATTATAGCTATAGCATTAACATTACACATGTCACTCAATGGTCACCAAGTAGGGAATACAAGATATGCCAAGTGTGTGGTGACATAAGCCTATAGTCCCAGAAGTTGAGAGGCTGAGGCAGGAAGATTACTGAGTTCAAGGCCAGCCTGGGCTACATGGTGAGATGCTATCTCAAAAAAGCAGAAAAAAAAAAAAAACAACCCGATATATGGTAAGTCTTAAAAACTGATTTTCAAAGCATTTTCCGAATAGGAGCACCCTCATTCCCGGCCTTACATCACAGTTTCTGCCCCTCAAGGTACATCCTGTTCACTTTATCTACCATAGCACTCACTTTATCTAGAGCACTTATCTACCATTTCATGAATTCCAAGACATTTCCCTCTACATGTTAACATCTCTGAAATCATGGTGTATCTTTCAACTCCTGGTATATCAGTTTAATTTGCAGTTTTTTTCCCTGTAGCAAATTATGTAAAAATGGTACATCTTATATTTGTGGAGATTTTAGTAAATAAGATATGGTAAGCCAACCTGACCTCTTTTCACCTGTATCTTTACTTGTAGTGATAAAAAACCAAGAACAATCTAATTACTTTGCCTGTTTTTAAAAATTGAGATATAAATCAAAGGTACTAAATGCAGGAATATTAAATATGCAGTTTGGTGAATTTTTAAAATGTAGCTAGGGGCCAGGGAGATGGCTCAGTAGAATAAGCGCTTCCCTGGCAAGTGCAAGGACCTGAGTTCAATCCCCAGTTCTGCCAAATAAATAAATAAATATAGCTAGTACAGAGCACAAGGCACTGAAGACCTGATGTATCTTCCAGGTCTTTCCCACCACCCCAAAGATATGCACTATTCTGACTTTCATCACCCAACCTCAGTCTTCTTTTCGTTTCCTATAAATATTAAATGTACTCTTAGTAATGTCTAGCTTTTCTTGTGGAACATTATCTCAGTGAAGTTTACCCAGCATGTTGCATGTGACAGTAGTTTGTTTTGCCATTTCTGTAATAGATTCTATTGAACATGCCTCAATGTATTCACTCATCCTACAGTTGTTGGACACTGAATTGTTTATAATTTTTGCAATGATGCTGTTATAAACAGTCTTGGTTTTTGATGCAGTCCTGTTGCATATAAGCGTAATTATTAAATCACAAGTACGCATAATGTTGCATTTTAGCATCTTAGTGTACTGCTAAACACTACCGTAAGGTAATTATTTTACAAACCTTCTGGCAGTAATTGAGAGCTTCAGTTGTTCCTAATACCAAACATTGGCAAGAATTTTCTATTGTTATTATGTTTCAGTGGTTTGCGTGACACATCAGGATATGGGAAACAATCAATTGTTTTTCTTAAAGGTAATTTCTGCGGTATGCACACGGATATCTCACTGAGGCTTTCATTTGTATTACTATGAGGTTTAAACATCTTTTGTGCTTCCTGGTCACTTGGATGCCTTGTCTGCAAGGCGCCTTGAATCTTTCACTCATTTTAAAAACTAAGTTGTCCAGTTCTCTAAGTTGTTTATTTTTTCTTACTGCTTCTATTCTTTTCTCACGGACTAGCTTATGAAATAGAACTTCATTTTGTTTTATTTTAGTACCAGGGATCAAACTCAGGACCTTGTGCTTGCCACTGAGCTATATCCTCAGCCCAACTTCATTTTATATAAAAGAAGAAAAGATATCTGCCAACATCAAGTAAAATGTACACGGAACTAAAAATGTTTCCCAACCATCAAGGAGTTTATTAGTTTACAAATCACAGTATAATATAACTACTGTATCTGTTAAACAGAAAAGAACTGAAAACTAAACTTATTTAGTAATTTGCTGGATCCCTGAGAATACCCAAAGCCAAAGCCACTAACCGAAGACATTCAACCGTAGATAAATATTTTTTAAAAAGAATTCTGACTGGTATTAAATGTCAAACTTTTCAATGTGGATGTTAATAAAAATAGCTCGAGTTATAAGTTAAATATAGAATAAGAAAAAGCAGAAAAAAACTCTAGAATCTTCACAAAATGAAAAATTACTCATAACTGTTTTTGAGCTGAGGTCTCTTGCTGGAGAGCCCAGTCTGGTCCTGACCTCCTTAGCTCAAGCAATTCGCCCATTTTGGTCTCCTCAGTGCTAGGACTATAGGTGCGCACCACTGTGCCAGCTATTTATTCTAACTTTTCTCCAGTCTATCCACTCCTAACCCTCTGTTCTAGCCTGTACCTACTTTCTAAAAATCTCGTGTTCAATATCAAATGCTACTGCTACAGAGTACCTCAGCAAAATCAGGATATGGAATAAATTCGTACCACAAGGGCTGTGTCAGATTATGACTTTTCAATGACAAAAAACAAACAAAAAGCTCACAGAGTAGCTAATGCCCAATTTATTTGAGGCCAGGGAAGAAAAACAGATCTCATTTTCCATACATTACCCATATAATGCTGGCCCTGCTTGGCTACAGTCCACTAGCCAGCTCATCTGAGTCACTTCTTTCCTCCAGAAGATGTGGCTTACCCCTGCATCCCATATCAGGCACAGCAAAAGCCTACAATCCAAGTAATTGGCTTCCACAAGAAAAAAGCTGCTAAAGCACTTCTCCCCCATGGTGGCCCAGCATCCTCAGAGCGCTGGCATCTCAATGGAGTCAATGTCTGTCACAAAAGCCCCACGCCTTAGTTACACAGAAGCATTTCCATGGGCTTTGACTGTACTTTACATGTGCTTTCCTGTATTCTTATGAAGGTTAAGAAAGGCAGCCCCAAAGCCAGGTACAGTGCACATGCCTATAATCCAAGTGGCTTGGAAGGCTGAGGTAGGAGAGTTGTGAGTTCAAGGCTACATGATGAGCACAAGGCCAGGCTGGACCACATGGGGGAAACTTGTCTCAAAAAAGCACAGCCAAAAAAAAAAAAAAGGGAAGTAAAGAGGCGGCAAGGAACCTAACTAGCTGCCAGAACAGTACACTCTCCACAAAACCTTTCCCTCATATGTAAGCACTGGAAAGTTGGGGTTACTGAGTAGCCAGCCCCAGCTAGCATGTAATAAAATAGCTAAGTGAAGTCTCTGTATAACGCTGTTCCAACTAATTCTATTTCAGGTGTGTTTGAGAACCAGTGAGTTATTCTTTAAACCAAGTCTCAATTACATGCCAAAGCCGGGGAGATAGCTCAGTAGGATAAGTGCTTGCCTGCCAAGCACAAGGTCCTGAGTTCAATCCCTGGTACCCCCCCCCCAAAAAAAAAATCAACTACATGCCAAAGAGTCCGCTTTCAGGTCATATGTTCACATACAATAAAGCTGGGTCTCTGAAGTCTTCCAGGCAAAGGCAGGAAGACTCTGCATACCCATGAGAAGCACTTCCCAGGCAGGGAAGGCACATTTGACTCTAGGAGGGGCGAAGGATCATTGATTACCTTCTCTTTCAGGTGGACCATCTTGAAAACAAAGGCCACCATGGTGGCCTGCTCAGGCACAGACACATGATGGTGTCAGAACAGACTTGAAAGCTTTTAGGATTCCATAATGTGGCTTATCCAAGCGGTATGAAGACAGAACCCTCAACATTTGTGCATGTGTTCTCTGAAGGAGTCCCTACTGACATCGCTAGACACAGCAATCTGTGTACCCATAATTTAATAACAGGTATCCTTCAGGACATGAGGAAGACTCCCTTCCGAAGATCTTTGGAGCTCCCACAGAAGATGCTCCCATCCTTGGCGTCGCATCACATCAGCCAGAGTGCACAAGTAGCTTGGTCGGTGTCTGAGGTCCGTGCTTCCTCTGGTACTATTCGCTTCTCATTACAGGACGCCTCCTCGTCTCCCTCTGTCATTTTTTTAAAATAAGGATTTCCTAGGCATCTTGGGCCTACCAAAGACTTCTTCCTTTTTCAATGAAGAAACCCTGACCTTGCAGAACCTGTGCAGTTATACAAATGTTGACACTGTTTGGATTTTCACTGAGACAATACCTGTTGCTGGGGTGGTGGCTGGATATGTGATATTAAAGAATCTATCATATCGCCTCCTATAGGAGAAGGGGGATTATCATCCTCATTTATAGACCGTCTTCGGGCATCCTGATTGCTGTCAACAAACATATTCAGGAATGTCTGTGGGTGTAAATGGGTAAAATTTACATTACTTTAGTAAAATATTTTAAATCATTTACAGTTTTTTAATAGAAGCAAACACATAATGTCCATCCCTGAAAACTATTATTAGAACAATCTAAAAGACATAGTATGCATTTTAATAGAAAGGGAAAGGAAAACAATGATTAACAATGATAATAAAAAATAACATCTAAGGGCCAGAGAGCTAGCTCAGCAGTATAAGTTCCTGCCTAGCAAGCACAAGGCCCTGAGTTTGATCCCCAGTACTACAACAACAACAAAAAAAATCTAAGTAAAAAATTATAACAATTAAGTATTATATAAACAACAAAAAAAATTGAACAAAGAAGTACACCCTGCTATTTCTTACTTCCATGCCAAAATATTTTCTTATTAACTTCTGACCAGAAATGAGGGGAGAATGAAAAATTCTATGTTGGTCATATAAATAACTTATAAAATTTCCAATTTAATGAGAATAAGAATATGTCAGGAATACTGATTAAGAATTAGGCCAACTTTGGGCTTTATAAATTATATGACTCAATCTTGAACCACCAGAAGTGGTACAGCCTACTTTATAGGATACAGAATCCAAAAACTAAGAGAAGCTACCAGTTTGTGTCTCAAGCAGATGCTTGTTCTTTCAATACTCTCTACTTCTCAGTCTTCAAAGGTGTGTATAATAATCTTACCGAAATCATAAGAGCATTATTAAAAGTATACAGTCTGAGTTTTAACTAAATAGATTTGCAATACACGTTCTGTATTTTCACAATACCCTATTAAAGCCACTGAAAAAATTTTAAGTAGTAAGTCATAAACATAAAAAGAATGGGAGGAGATAAAAAATAGCAATGCATTCTGGAGTCTGCAAAGCAGATGGGTGAACCATCCGATGTGAGAAACTATAAGCAACCCATGGGGCAAGCCAAGAAGCAAAGCTATTTCCATCCGGATCCCAAAGGCACTTTGGAACTGGCAGCACCAGACACTTCTGAAAATGGGCATGAAGGTGGGATTAAGAACAGGACTAGGTGAAAATCTCTTTAGTTTTTTCTACACAAAGTCTCACACTATGTGTTTAGGCTACCCTTGAACCCACTGTGGGTTCAAGAACCCACCTTGAACCCAGGCTGATCTTGAATTCACAGCAAACCTCCTTTCTCAGCCTCTCAAATTCTAGTACTACAAGCAAGCTCCACCATAGCCAGCTTTAAAGTCTCTTTAAGAGACACTTAATCTCCCAAATCTTCTGTGACTGGCTGTGCTGGGATGACCTCCACTTTCTTGGAGGAAGAGCTCTGACTTGAGGATCTCCAAGGATCAATGGGGAGAAAAGGTATATTAGAAGTGGGAATTAAAGTCTATACACTGATATTCAAGAATTTTACTTTTGTTCTTCTCTCATTTGACTCCCCCAACGGAGAGTTAGATGCATATCATTTATTCAGGAAACCTGCATACTCTTCTGTGAGAGTTAGATGCATATCATTTATTCAGGAAACCTGCATACTCTTCTGTTGGTAGTCAAATCAGCCCAACAAAAACCCCCAAAGCTACTGACACTGAAAGTTTCCCAAAGTAATGACCCAAGTAGATCCTTCTGCAATAGTCAGTAAATCATCTTTAAATAAGAGCAGAGCTGGACCGGGGAGATAGCTCAGCAGCAATAAGCGCCTGTCTGGCAAGCGTAAGGTCCTGAGTTCAATCCCTGGAACCAAACAAAACAAAACAAAAGAGCATCATTAAGAATATTTGAAAAAAAAAAAAAAGAATATTTGAAGAGGGGCTGGGGAGATGGCTCAGTGGAACAAGCGCTTCCCTGGCAAGTGCAAGGACCTGAGTTCAATCCCCGGCTCCGGGAAAAAAAAAAAAAAAAAAGGGAGATGGCTCAGTGGAACAAGCGCTTCCCTGGCAAGTGCAAGGACCTGAGTTCAATCCCCGGCTCCGGGAAAAAAAAAAAAAAAAAGAGTATTTGAAGAAAGACACTAAAATGAAAGAAATCAACTTTCTCAAAAAGTTAAGAAATGGAGATTATATAGGAAGAAAAGAAATAAGATAATGTAGCCATAAGAACATGTCTTTAAAAAAAAGAACAGGTTGTCTTAAAATAAATATTTAAAAGCAAAAAAGAGCTTTTACAAATTTCAAAAAAGCAAAAAACATTCTTGGCAGAAAGAAAAATAAAAGGATTAAAATAAAAAAATAAAGAAGTTTCCCCAAAACAGAGAGAAAACCCAGAAAGATAAGAAAATTAGAGGATAAGTCTAAGATGCCCAACATCAGCACAGTAGTTACCAGAAATAGCTAACAGAGAAAATAGCAGAAATGACACAAGGAAATTTCCCAGTACATATGTTTTCAAACTCAAAGAGCCTACTCAGATATATAAGGTTCAAGAATTAGAATAGCATCAAGAACCTTGACACTCACAATGGAATGTAAAAAACAATGAAGCAATGCCTTCAGTATTTTTACAGAACACGACTGCAGCCTAGAATCTCTCTACACCTAGCCACTCTCGATCAGATGAGGGAAGAGGCTTTCTAATCTCCCATGTACCTTCCCATGTACCTTCTCTCGCAGTTACTACGGTAGCTCAGTAGAATAAGCGCTTGCCTGGCAAGTCAGGGGCCTGAGTTCAATCCCCAGTTCCGCCACAAAAAAAAAAAAAGCAAAGTTACTACGGGATTTATAATACCAAAATAACTAAGTAACCAATAATAAAACATGGGATCTAAGCCACAGGGCATGCAACAGAAGGAAGAAGCAAGGCAGCTCCCCCTTCATCCTGCTGTGGATTCCTATGTCACAATTCTGCAAAAAGCCTGGAGTGCTACCACTAAACTGAAGCAGATCAAAGGACCACGGAAGAGATTTCAAGATGAAACCAGGAAGGTATGTGATATATGTGAATGTGCTGAGAGCAGCGTTACACAACTGGGAAGGAGTTTAAAGTAGAGTTAGTCATAAGTATAGAAAAAGCTAAGCCAAAAAATTAATTTCCAGGTAAATAAAGTGGTGAATAAGAAAGAAAAATAATCATAGCAAGCTTGGTGGAATAAACAGTGTTTCTTTATTCCTAATAATGTAAACAGTAAAAAATTACCTAATCATATTACTGTACAACTGCACTGGCAAACACTGGAGGAAAGAAAAATGCATTCATGTACTGGTAGTAGGAAAGGCGGAAAGTACACATAAAAAATTACTTGAAGAAGAATTAATTTCTTCTTAAATTTTCCACAGTGAGAATCAGATAAGCTCCTAACCAAAAAGTTAACAAATAATACTACAAGCATGCTAATTAGAGAGATGGACATAAATACTAAGAATCAACTAGATGTGAATTAAAAAGTTATGTTTGACGGGCAGGAAGAAGGTCTATAGGAGACTGTTTTATAAAACAAGCCTTCTAGGGCTGAGCGTATAGCTCAGCAGCTTAAGTGCCTACTTGGCATAAGCATAAGGTTATGAGTTCAATCCCCAGTACCAAAATAATAATAACAATAACAATAATAATAAACAAAGTAAGTCTTTTGGAACTATTTGACCCTGAACATAAACAACTGAGCCATCACATGAGAATCTCCAGCAGTTGTGGCACAAGACATTACATTTTATATGCAGCGCAAGACAATACCTCTTCTCGCAGTGCAGCATAGGCAAGCCAGAAGGTGAGATACTCACGTTACAGCTCTCAGAATAAATTTCCATCGATGGTGAATTAACACTGCTAATGATGAAATCCAAACAGGACTGTTGCTTTTGCCCATTATTTTTCCCTCAGAGGAATTGTTTTGGAGGACATTTTTCTATTTAGCATATCATGCTATAATGGTAAAAGTCTGTTACCTTTAGTCCTGGTGCAGGATAAAAACCTTCAACTAACTTGCTGTTATCAAAAAGGCTATAGGCACCATCCCGTATTGCTACCACACCTCGACTCCGACAATATATGTCAATGCAGTACATGTTCCTGAAGGCCAGTCTGATGTGAGTAGATGACTGTGGCAGAATGGAGAAGCACTGGTAGGCAGTGTTGGTTCTCTGGGTCAAACCCAACATTGGCACAGTGGGGAGTTTGTTGATGGCATTTAAAGGAGCCTGAGTGTCGAACAGTACCTATAAAGAGCACACAAAGAGTACACACAGTGAGAGCAGTCAGCTTCTATACAAATGTTGAAGTCTCAGAATTTTTAGCATGCAACTATCACAAATGGCAAAATGGCCTTCTGGCACATTTCCTAAAACTCTCCTGGCAGAGGGTGCCAACTAGATCACTGTGTCCACCTTGATCAAAGATAACTGTCAAAAAGGGGCTCAAGATAGAGAAAAAGACCTTAGTCATTAAAAACAAGTACGTCTACATGATGTTTTTGAAGAGCTTGCATGAGGCACTAACACCGACAAGGTCTTCTTTTTAAACATAAACAACATCAACTTAATTACCTGTAACAACTGAACCACATTTGGTGTTTTGTTGAACATCTCTTGAAGCTGATGGAGAATGGTATTATGGCAGTTACTGCACCCTGAATTCGGGCCAACTGTTCCCAAAGAAATATGGAATTTCTGATGCATGGAATTCCACTGGATACTAATCTAAATCAAGAGATTGCATGTTTCAGAAACAGAAAGTAAAAGATTCAAGTAGAAGATAAAAGGCAAAATGCTAAAGATCTAAAGGAGGTCTCCCTACACCTTTTATTTTTCCCCCTACACTTTTTTTTTTGTGGAACTGGGGATTGAACTCAGACCCTTGCGCTTGCCAGGGAAGCACTTGTTTCACTGAGCCATCTCCCTGGCCCTCCTACATTTTTAAGTAAATCATTTATTTTTGATTACAGATTAATGGGTGTCAGTTCTGCAGAGTTTTACATGTATATAATATACTTCAGTCATTTTCACCTCCTCATTATCCCTCCAAATGTCTTTTCTGAAAAAAAACAAGACTGGATTCAAACACCAGATGTGCTACTAATATAAACCAGTAGAATCTCTGAACATATTTGTTAGCCTTCTCTACTATATAAAACAAAAATATGGGCTAGGGAGATAGCGAGGCAGCATAAGTGTCCTCAGTTCAATCCCCAATACCAAACAAAACAAAACCAGAAACAGAAGGTGCTAAACAGGGGCTGGGGAG